CTTCTTTTCTTAATGAGTAGTCCTGTTTCTCAGATTCTCCACTTGAGGTTTAAACCCCAGTGAAGTCTTTGGCCAGGACAAAAGAATTGCCATTTTATTTCTCTTTTGCTGAGAAGTTCAGTGATTCATTTCAATGTGCCGGTCTGCATTATTAGCTTTGAACTTTTAAACATCAGCTTCCTCACAGACAGGGCCTGTGCAGAGTAGGAAGATGTACTGACATAGCTGTTCTTCAAAATAAGGCTGCTAAATCCCTTGTGGAAAATTGTGAGTGGTTTTCCAATGCTGACTACGTAAAACTTCTCCTGGAGAAACCATCACAAAAATTGTGAGTGGTTTTCCAATGCTGACTATGTAAAACTTCTCCTGGAGAAACCGTCACGGAAGGGACCTCTGGAGATCATTTAATCCATTAATTTAATCCAATCCATTCATTCAATCCAATCGTTTAATCCAACCCCCCTGCCAAAGCAGGGCCACCCAGAGCAGGTTGCACAGGAACGTGTCCAAATGGGTTTGGAACATCTTCAGAGAAGGGGACTCTACCACCTCTCTGGGCAGCCTGTTCCAGGGCTCTGCCACCCTCACAGGAAAGAAGCTCCTCCTCATGTTTAGATAGAACTTCCTATATTCAAGTTTGTGCCTGTTTCCTCTTATCCTGTCCTTGGGCACCACTGAAAAAAGACTGGTCCCATCCTCCTGATGCCCACTCTTTAAGTATTTATAGGTGTTGATCAGATCGCCCCTTGGTCTTCTCCAGACTAAAAAGACCCAAGTCCCTCAGCCTCTCCTTGTAAGGAAAGATGCTCATCACCTTTGTAGCCTCTGCTGTACCCTCTCCAGCAGTTCCCTGTCCTTCTTGAACTGGGGAGCCCAGAACTGGACCCAGTGCTCCAGATGGGGCCTCACCAGGGCAGAGCAAAGGGGGAGGATGACCTCCCTCAAACTGCTGGTCACACTCTTCCTGATGCCCCCCAGGATGCCCTTGGCCTTCTTGGCCACAAGGGCACATTGCTGGCTCATGGTCATCCTATTATTCACCAGGACTTTCAGGTCTTTTTCCTCAGAGCTGCTCTCCAGAACTCCATCCATATATAGAACAGACCTTTAAGGGGCTTCATTCTAGAATCCGTTCTGCACTTCAGCTTCCATGTGGGGACACATGGAAACATTTTCTGATTCTGAAGGATGGTGGTTTTTTTTTTAATTTTAAGAAAGTAAATTTAAAATATTGGCTAAAATAACACTGACGCCTATATTGAGTTCACTTGTGGCATTTGTGCTGCACAAACTATTGTGAGTGTTGGTACTGAAGACTTTGAAGTAGAAGTAAATTCTGGCTCTAGGAATGTATCAAAGTCAAGAAGAGTTGTCCCTGCAGGGGCAAATGTCCAACAGCCAAATGGACACTTGGCACTGCAGGGACGACTCTTCACTTAGAAATACTTATCAGTGTGGAATGTCAATATTTTCTGTATTTTCAAGTAAACTTCACAGGCCTGTCATGTTGCACATATCATATATATATATAGCATGTTCTGCGACCGATAATAAGAAAACTGATATTAAAACTTGCCAATGATATCAATGAGAACTAGTTACTGGAATGGAAAGAGTAGCGAAAGACATTCTTTAAATACTTAAATAGGGAAATATTTTCCCTGGGGTTTGAAAATCCTTCTACTCTATACGCTTAGAAGAAAGATATGGAAAGACTTGTCTTGGTGGTAACTCCATTTAAAGTCCTAAGGGTGAGAGAGAAGTTCTTCTCAGAGACAGTGCACTGGGGAAGGGACTCTTTTGTTGGTGGGAAGGAGAGGCTGTGGGTGGGTGGATGGATGGATGCAGCAGGACTTCTGCTGCCCTGTCAAACCAGAATGTCTTCTGCAAACTAAGGAGATGCTTTCAATCAACCATCTCTACCAAAGAACTTTAGACACTTCATTCATTTTTATTTTTTTTTTTAATTTTTTTTATTAGTTGTCATTCTTTGACATGATGAATACTTACAGCAGTATGTTAAAAAAGATACAGTTAAGTCTCTTGGCATCACTGCATAGCAGTCACAGCATTTTCACACAATCTAGTGCTTCCTTTCAGAATGATGCATATGGCATATATACGCACATATGGGGGGCTGGTTCTTGGTCCCAGTGAAGGTGGTGGGACCAGTGTTTGGCCCGTAGAGTTGTATAAGATATGTGAATATGTATATATAAAATGCTTTACAATAAACTTGACATATACAATCTTGAATTCAAAGATAAGCAGAATATATTTTACATCCAAGTCAAACTTATGCTCTGCACTTAAAAGTTTATGTACCTAAAATATCAGAAGGATTACAGAAACAAATAATAGAATAATAGTTTGCACCAATCGAAGTGATTTGGATACGTATTCATGGCATGAGCTTGCCTTGGGTTTGTGGTTTGGGGTGGCTTTTTTTTTGGATTTGCAGGATCTTAATTCAAATTTAAGTATTGATTTTTAGTTTTTTATTATTTCTTTTTTTTGTGGGCCATTTGTAGGTGGCATCAGGAGGGGAATGGGAGTACTTTATAGACAGCTCAGCTGAGTGACTTAAAATCTAAGGCTGTAACTTGTGACTAGTACCCTAATTAATGCCTAAAAGTAAATTTTTAACTACTTTGAGTGTTTCTCCTTTCTGAGGAGAGCCCATTTGGGAGGGCTGGTGCGTGTTCCCTCTGTTTTGTTGGACACTTTTAATAAAAAACTTCAACCACAATGGTGGCATCAGGAGGGGAATGGGAGTACTTTATAGACAGCTCAGCTGAGTGACTTAAAATATAAGGCTGTAACTTGTGGCTAGTACCCTGATTAATACCCAAAAGTAAATTTTTAACTGCTTCGAGTGTTTCTCCTTTCTGAGGAGAGCCCATTTGGGAGGGCTGGTGCGTGTTCCCTCTGTTTTGTTGGACACTTTTAATAAAAAACTTCAACCACAGAGTGGAAAAGCTGGTGAGAGAGCTATGCAGTGGGAAAAGGGGTTTGTCTCATTTACTGTGGCAGCAGCCTTCTCACTCATAAGGCAGGGAGATGAATTATTTATTTTTTTTCCATGAAAACCAATAGTTTATACAAAAATAATTGGCCCATGTTGTCAATTAGGTTACAGAAAACTAGAGATCAGGTGGGTTTCTTTCCTCCATGGACTCTGCTTAATCTAAGCTGCTCCTCTCACTGTTTCTGTGTTTCAAAGGTACACGTTTTCAATAGGCCTTTTTTCCCCTGGAACATTGTCCATTTAAAAACCCAAAGGTAGATAAAACCTTTACTTAAGAAAAATGCCTATTTGTGCATTACTTTAACAGCCTAAAAGTTTCACTTATCACCACCGTGTGCATTACTTTAACAGCCTAAAAGTTTCATTTATCACCACCAATTATTATTATTGTTGTTATTGTTATTTAGATAGAATTGGCCTCTGATGGTATGAAATCCGCATTAAAAGAAACAAGGTTTCAATCAAATGAATTGTATTTGCAGGGCATAAAAGTGTTTTAAACTCCTGCTTTTAGCAGTTTTCTGCTTCTTTCCTTATATGAAAAGTTTAGCTGTTTTAAAACTTCGGTATCTTTTAGCTGCACTGGCCCAATAAGAAACAGAAAACCCTTGTAAATCATTTTTCTAAGTGGCTGATAGGGCTGACACGGCAGAAATCTCTACTGTCTGCATAGGTGTTTTTCTCTTCTGCTGGCAACCTGGGGAGAAATACAGAAATGTCCTCCAAACTAGAGAATACCAAATACCTATCACAACCGCACATACTGAGCCCTGGAGTGGCTGAATTGGGTACGTTTTGGGTTCTTCAACAGGAAATCAAAGGGAAACATTTTGCATTACAGACCCCAGGACATCTGGCCTCCAGAGCCGAACTTTGCAGGGTGCTTTTGTCTAGAGCACCTGAGGCAAAACTAGCCCAGACCCAAATTTGGTGTAATGGCTTTGGCTTCATAAGTACAGAAGCGTTTCAGGAGCTGCCCTGAGCCTATTTCAAGCTTTGTTTCATCAGACAAGGGCATTTGAAATCTAGCAAGGATGCGCAGTGCACCAAAAAACCCCACCACCTCTTCCTTTTAACAGCTTTTCAAAGTTGGGAAGTTTTAACTGGGTAAGAGCGGGCTTGTGATGGATGCTGTAGGCTCTAATTACAGAAAAGGTCTTGGTTTTATTGCAGTTGGAACTTGATGTGTACCTAAAGCTTTCCCCTTGGACCTATTTTCTGGAAGCTCCTCAGAAACACCTCAACAACGTAGCTGTCAAGAGCTTTTTATGCTGCTAGAAACCGGGTTTGTTTAACTAAACTTCAGAACACTTTAAACAAGAAAATAATCTTTGAACTAGATGGAAAATGGCTTCCATTTCTGAGTAAAAAGACAAAACAGGGGAAATTATATACTCTTGTATGTACTTAAGTGCTTCTAAGCAGCACATTACACTGCTTGTGTAATGTTCTAATAATTGTCCTAAATCTGTCAGGAGAAGGAAAGATACAGCTAAAAAGCTGCAAAGTGGTGATGCTCCTGCCCCTCCCCCCACAAGCAGGTGGTTAAAAAAGACATTTATGTCCTGTAGTTAGAAATAATTGTTTTCTACTACAACTCTCTGTCTTTGCTTGTTGTGGTACTTCTACTACGTGAGTGGCATTTAGAAGAGGGAGAAAGAAGAATGCTCTCTACTGCTTACAGCTTACAAATCGGTAGAGGAGGAGAAAAACATTGTTCTTGGGATGGTGTCTTCCACCTTCCTACTTCACTGGGGTTCCATTTGGGATGGTGTCTTCCACCTTCCTACTTCATTGGGTTCCATCATCAAGGCCAGGATGGATGGGGCTTGGAGCAACCTGGTCTGGTGGGAGGTGTCCCTGCCCAGGGCAGGAGGGTTGGAACTGGATGGTCTTTAAGGTCCCTTCCAACCCAAACCATTCTATGGTAATTCTATGATTCAGTTTCTTTCTCTGAAGATACATGTCCAACCTGAACCATTCTATGATTCTGTTTCTCTCTCTGAAGATACATGTCCAAGGAATTAGTAGAGTAGAACATCTTTCGCTAAAACTTAAGCTTTTTATTTTCCTTTAAACATATTAGTCAACTTACGAGCATGAGCCCTTTGTCTTATCAAGCCAATATTTGCTGTAATTGAGAGAAATCCTTTATCTCCCTTTACACTTCTATGCGTAAACATTTTATTTCTCAAACACCAGCTTAAATAGCTCATTCTTTGTTTGCCTCTCCAAAAAATTCATGTCCAAATATGATTATATGGTCGCTAGTTCTTTTGAAAAACACAGATTTGATGTGCTGGGGGTTTATAACACTGCACTTTTTACCTGAATGCAGTTATTTTTTCTAGGGGCAGGGAGAGGAGGGCAGTCACTTTGGTACAATGCAGTAGTGTCTGAGAACACAATCTCATTGAAATATTGGAAACTTGGAAAATTGTATAAAAATTAACTCAACTAAGGTTGTTTATGGCATGATAAGGCCATTTATCTTTCACAAACATGAGACCATAGAAAATTCCTCCTCTACTACAATAGTTAAGATGATTTTTCTTAAAGGTCTGGCTACAACCCATTTTTTTTCCTTCATTGAGGGAGACTGAGCTACAAGACAGTTGAAGTATTTAATGTTTTTTTTTTTTTTAATGAAAATTAGAATACAAATGCATTTCAATTCTGGCTATCTATCTAAGGAGGGAATGTGGGGGGAAAAAATCAGCTACACTGCAACATCACTCCAGAAAACAATTGGACTCCAGAACTATTAGAATGTCGTGCTCTGTAGATCACTAAGCTACTTAGTAAAAATTCACGCTCTTGAATAAATGTTCATCAGGTCGACCTGTGAAATTCGGTGGTGTTGCTGTGGGGTTTGATTTTATGGTTTGGTGTGGTTTTTTTTTTAGAACTTAAAACTTCAGGCTCTGTGAAACATTTGCCTAGGCCAAACGTGCCAGGTGCCACGGATTAACAACATGGACCCATATGGAATGTGTTTGAAGTTTTTGAGAAGTTCTCCTGCAGATTTCATTCCCTAATGACCTTTGATACACCTTGGATAGTGGAAAGGCAGTTCAGAATCGTTATCTTGTGACCGTATGGTTTTGGCAGCTATCAATCAGAAGATGAAGGAAGTTAAGGCTTTTATCCACAAACGATGGTGTATATTAATAAACTCTATACCATATTTACAAATGCTTTCTCTTGTATTAAAACTAACAGTATTCTGTTCACAGTGCCAATGTTTTTACAGGTAGCAATCCCACAGTACTCCAGTATTTTGGCATGGGAATCAGTAGCGCTTTGTATTTACAGAAAATGTACACGTATGAATATAAACATGTTACTGGAAACAGTACTCAAAAGATAGATCTGTTCGTGTTTCAAAGGTTTAGACTGTACAACACCTTCCCTTTGGGTTGCGAGGGTTCCTTGCAATGAGAAGATCCCCGTCTTTTATCCAAAGTGGCATAAAAATGGTTACCAAAACGAGCCTTGTTACACTGGAGTTGTGTATACGGAGAGTAACTTCAGTCCAGGTTTTTATAGATCTGTTGTTTAGTGCACAGAATACAAAAGTTAAAAAGGTTTTTTGTTTTAATTACTAAAATAACCAGACTCTCTCTGCCCTCTGCGAGCGCTGTCTCACTCAGCCAGTGTCCCCTGGATGCTGAAGATGCTGGTGGTTTAATGTGCAGCCCAGCTGCCAGCCTGGGAACCAACAACCATATGGAGCTCTGGGCCTATATACATATGTCACAGTATGACTCATGGTAAATGGATAGATAACCAAGAGTGTCTCTGTCATCTCCTCTGTTCTCTCAGGAATCCTCCCCGCTTCCCTGCAGGCCGTAACGGGCCCGGCTGAAGTTCTGCTGTCTGGGACTCTGCGCTCAAGGCAGTTCGTGATCAGAAGTGACAAATGGCATCAGGCATGCTCAGAAGGAAGAGAGGGGAGAGGAACACCAAGGAGATCCAGAGAGGAACCCAGCAGAACCCTGGGCTCGTCCGTCAGGACCCTTAACAGCTTCTGCTTTGCTGGTTCTTCCCTTTCCGCCATCTTGACAACGTGCTCCGAGCTCCCCGGGGTTTTGCCTGCTGCTGTGGATCAAGACAAGCAGTGCTATAAGGGAAAGTGCAAAGCTGCCACTAAGGAGTCTCTTCTTCATTTAAAGTCTGTTCTTGGCTGCCAGTCACTTGACCTGAGTGGTCGTTGCTCCTACTACTGCTGTGCTGCTTGTGGAGCAAACTCCTCCACTTGGCCTTGTTCCTCCTGAGATGGTTGAGCATGTTTTCAGAGAGGGGGGTGTCACCTGTAAACTGGGCCCACCTCTCGAAGAGCGGCTCTACGATGTACGTCATGAACCCTGGGGGGACACACAAAGGACAGCAGGTGAGGGACAAAGTCATTCCAATTCAGTCATTGGCCCCACAGAGTGCCTCCAGAGGACACAGCGATATAAATGCCAAAGAACCCTCCCGAGAAATAACTATAAGCCCTCAAGCAGCCATGGGTTCCTTCTGAAATGCACAGCTTTTGACCAGCTCGCGTGACAAGATGTGACTTATCTGTATGAGGAACAGTAAAATCTGAGAGAAACAGCATCCTTCTCCAAGGAGGTTTCAGACTGGAAGGTAACCAGTAGTTAATCACACGTTGGCTGTATTTTTTCTCCATGGATATTAGAATGGCCCCTTTTATTCCCCTATGTCATGCAACGACTCCTTTGTCCTTCTATTGACTATTTGGCTTGGATAGGCTTCTTTTTGAGTATTTTATTTAGGATGTGAATCATGACTCTTACGGTACATGCAGTTCTTACTGTTAAAACAACTAGACTGGGGTGGAGGAGAAAAGTATCTCTTTGAGCTTGTTGCCCTACTGAGATAAACCAGGAGAGGAGAGAAGGAAACTGATCCTTACCAATCTGTATGCTGGGTATTGTATCCTTCTGCTGATTACAAAGGGGGCTTATTTCCAGTTCAAATTTTTGTTCCAGGTCACCTGAAAAAAAAAAGAAAAAAGAAGAAAAAATAATTTTCTGATTTTCTGCCAGTTTTCTCTCTTCTTCAGACCTCTACCAGCTTCTTACAGTGACTGCAATTGGGAGGATGTGAGCAGTTGGAATCTTCCACCAGTGATGGCGATGTTAAATGTCTAAATACCTAAAAAGAAGTCGTCCAAAAAAGCATCAGGAAAACTGAGTATCTCTACAAAAAAAAAAAAAAACCTCTCTAAGGAAAGATGACTTTTGAATGAACATTAAATCTGAGCACTTACGTGTTCTGAGGACTTTAATTTGTCCCATTACCGTGGTGTAGCTGGGTATTGGGGCCGTGCCCGTGCTGCTGCATTGAACTTGCATCACTAGTTCCCTGGGTGGTCCAGGAAGTCCCCAGAGAGTCATCTGCCCAGGACTGACATGAGATAGCAGATAGACTTAAACCAAAGTGGTTGATTGAACTCCTTGTCACCTTCACAGCAGAGTATTTGTCTAGTTGGAGCGGGAGGTCTCTAGGTGCGAATCTGGGACTCCCCTGGAGATTCCTGCTGGCAGCTCCTGCTGTGACCGGCCTCAGGGTCTGTCTCAAATTGTTGAAGAACAGCCTGGCTGGGGGATCTGCTCACTCATATGCCACCTCAGACCACTCCTGCTGCAGGATTGACCAAATTTGGCATGGAGAAGATGCTTACAAACAGTCAGTAGAAACTATACCTGCAGGTGCAGAAATGGCCATGCAAGACGGTCCTCCTTGATCTCTGAAGGTCCCTTCCAACCCCTACTGTTCTGTGAGTATATATAGCTAAGACAGGAGATGGTTTTTATGTAGTTGAAGGTAATCAATAGCAATGATCACGCATGTGCTAGAGGGGTCACAGTGGACCACGGGCCAGCTGGATATAAGAATTCAGCAGAAAAACACCTCAGGGAGTCTCATTTGCCCATTACCATCCAGACAACAGTCACTTGTCCTGCTGGAGGGGCTGCATTTCCCCATGCAAGCAATTACTCCATTCAAATACTGCTATGAGTTAGGTTTTTTTTGTTTTAAACACTGTGTGTGCAACACATCCATCCTTTGTGATTGTTTGCTTTCTCTGAGACGCTGCCAGGGCACAGTCCTGGTTACTGCACCGGGTACAGGACCTCTCCTGCCTACAGCATGGAAGGGAAGGGAGATGTGCCCCACGCCCTCAGACAACAGTATTTCATCCATGTGCTTTACTAATAAGAACAGAGTGAGGGCTAGTTATGGAAAGGTTTCCCCATAAGCAAAAGGGACCTGCTAGATCAGACAAAACCACCATATTCAACCCATAAAGAAACATTTTGCTCTTTTCTCCCCACTAACAGTTTTGACTGAAATGCTATTGTGCTATTCAGGCTCTATAGCCCCATGTAAAATACCACGTGCATTTTAAAGCCTTGCTTTTCCTCTCTCTGCAGGATGACATTTCTCCTTAAATGTGAAGGGAATATTTTCAGTTTTAATTAGATATTTAGAGAACATCAGGGAAACATTTTTAGCTTCACAAACAAAAGGAACAATTCAGCAAAACTGAGACAAAATATCAGTTTGTCAAATTTCCAAAGGTACAGTTCAACTGTCCTCTTCTCTACCCCCTTGAAAAATTTTTGACTGAAATTTTTTGGAGTGTGTAACTCCAGCAATGCCCCCTCTAGAGGTATTCTGGGTTCAAAATGCTTGACCTGTCTGGCCTGAAGTGTATCAACACCGTCCTGTCTTCAACAAGTCATTTAATTGGTGAAAATAAGATCTTCCTTTGCAGGGTAAAAACCTAAATCCTGGTCACTTTTCTTAAGCTTCAAGTTGCTACAAAAGTTACTGTGTGAATTAGTTGCTGAGACCTTTTCAGGTTGGGGAAAAACCTTCCAAGCAATTTTAAAACCTCACCAGAGAAACCAATCATTAACGTTGCTTAAACATTAGCCATTTTCTTGAAACTTGTTTCTTGCCAGTTCCAGCTTTTATATAATCAAATCAAGTTGCTTTCCTTACCCTGTGTTCCTAAGTGACTTTTAAAACATCTGAGAACAAGCTAAAGTATTTTCCTGGGAAAGGGTTGTGTTAGGAGCTGCGTTAGGCATCAGGTGCTCCCTGAAATGCACCTGAGTTATTTATTTTATTTGCTAAGAGAAGACGCGTAGCTGCACCAGGTGACTGGGATGTCAGGACCTGAGGCTCTATTAGAAATGTTTGATATAAAAAAACATTGAAACTTTGGATGCATTCCAGAAGGGAGAATAAACAAGGCACTGATTGTGGTATTATCGGCCTCATCTATAGTTAAAAATCAAAACTACAGTTTTCAAATGTTAAACAAACAAAAAAAAAATACCTTCAAGCCCCGGTATTGTGCATAAGGGGATAAAGAGGTCTGCAATAACATTTTAAAGTGATAATGGTATCTAAATAATACTGGGATTTGTATCACTTACCAGGATTATGCAGCCACCAGTGACAGCCAGACCACAGTTTCTCTAAATTCTCCCACATGAAATGCTCTTTCTCTCCCTGTTACGCTTCTAACTGCTCTCACAGGCTCCAGTGTCCCCTTCCAGAGGTCTATTTTAGATGTTATTCTAATAAATCTCGAGTCTTGGGGGAAAAAGGTTACGTTTAGGCTGAGTGCTGTCTGTCTCAGCATGGTCCCTCGATAGGCTGAAGGTGAGATATCACACAACTGGGGAACTGCTCTCATGGGCTGGATATTGATTATGCCTTGATTATACATCTGACTAAAGAAACCTGCATCCAGCAAGCTGCTTACGTCACTTCAAAAGCATCAAAGTCAAATACATTTCACCAGCTTCAGCTGAAACTGGCTGAAAATTAACTTGCTGACCTATTTGTCCTTGGTATAGACTAATTGCGTTAGGTACCAGCTCGAACGCGGCTGAACTTCGTAGTGCAGAATTTTAAATGAACTGAGAACTTCTCCCTGTGCTCTTCCAGCGTTTGTACCACTGGCCTTCAAGCTCTCAGGATGCTCCCAACAAAGAATTTAACAGTGATTAAACTCTGCTGCACCCCGTGTTGTAGCACAGCGTGACTTTGCCTGTGCAGATAGAGCCAAATGGTGTAATTACTGTGCTTAAAAAAAAAAAAAGCCCTGCCTGACTGCACTCTCTGCAGGGGTCTGAAAACATTTGCAATAGGTCCTGGCTGAGCTTTGGCTTGCCTGCTTTGGCCCTTTCAACAGCATTAGAAGAGCTCAGCGTGCTGGGAACCGCGTTTGAACCCTTTCTCCGCGTTTCTGCACAGAGGAATGTGTCACATTTGGGAAGCAGCGAGGGTGAGGCTCCCGTCGGAGCTGGAGCAGGAGCGTGAAAAGTGAGATAAAATGCAGTGGTGGGATTTTGGAGCGGGGTCACCCTGGCACTGTTCCAGCTCAGAAGAGCTACGGGTGATTGGAGGGTGCTTAGAGAAACATAGAATGGTTTGGGTTGGAAGGGACCTTAAAGATCATCCAGTTCCAACCCCCCTGCCCTGGGCAGGGACACCTCCCACCAGACCAGGTTGCTCCAAGCCCCATCCAGCCTGGCCTTGAACCCCTCCAGGGATGGGGCAGCCACAGCTTCTCTGGGCAACCTCTTCCAGTGTCTCACCACCCTCACAGGAAAGAATTTCTTCCTAAAATCTAATCTAATTCTTCTCTCTTTCAGTTTATAACCGTTACCTCTCATCCTATTGCTCTACTTTCTATCAAGTGTCCCTCCCCAGCTTTCTTGGAGCCTCTTTAGGGGCTAGAAGGGTCTCTAAGGTCTCCTCTTCTCCAGGCTGAACAACCCCAACTCTCTCAGCCTGTCCTCACAGCAGAGGTGCTCCAGCCCCATGGGTTCTCCAGCAGAATTCAAGGGCTGGGGTGGAGCAGAGCCTTCCCTCCCTCCTGACACTGCTACAGGAGCAGCGAGGGCAAAAAAACCCTTTCTATTCTTCTATCCCTTCTCACTTTTCAAATAGGGCAGAATATCTTGTTCCTGGGGGTGATTTTGAGGCAAACTGGGTCGGCTGAACACTACCTCTTAGTGGCCACACAAAAAGCCTGAGAAGCTGAGGTGAGAGGGGACCGGCTGCGCGCTGAGGGACTGACCTTGCCGGTAAAACTCTTCGCAGACCCGTTCACTCCACTGTTTGCTGAGGTCCCAGAGCCGGCAAGGGTTGCAAATGTCAGCGCACTTGAGTGCAATCTGAAAGAAGCAAAGAAGAAAAGCACGGTTGAGAAAAAGAGTTCCTGCCTAGCAGTGCTTCAGCAGTCATAGAATGGTTAGAATTGGAAGAGATCGTAAAGATCATCCAGTTCCAACCCCCTGCCATGGGCAGGGACACCTCCCACCAGACCAGGTTGCTCCAAGCCCCATCCAGCCTGGCCTTGAACCCCTCCAGGGATGGGGCAGCCACAGCTTCTCTGGGCAACCTCTTCCAGTGTCTCACCACCCTCACAGCAAAGAATTTCTTCCTAATATCTCATCTAAATCTCCCCTCTTTCAATTTAAAACCATTACCCCTTGTCCTGTCACTGCACTTCCTGACAGAGTCCCTCTCTGGCTCTTCTACAGGCTCCCTTCAGATATTGGAAGGCTGCTATAAGGTGTCCCCAGATCCTCCTCTTCTCCACTTTGAAGCTCCCAGACCTCCCCAGCGATGTGACAGTCCCTCTCTGGCTCTCCTACAGGCTCCCTTCAGATATTGGAAGGCTGCTATAAGGTCTCCCTGGAGCCTTCTCTTCTCCACTTGTGAAGCTCCCAGACCTCCCCAGCGATGCAGGGAAGGGTTAAGATCACCTTTTGGAGCCTCAGACTCACCCTTTTTGAGGAAAGAGCATTTATTTAAGCCGCGAACAAAACTTTGATTCAGCCCTCCCCTTTACAGTAGCGAGAACAAGAGGAGGGACAAATGCCAAGGCTGCAAAGTCTTTTTGGATATTCCTTGCAAGGAATAAGCCAACAAAAGCCTCGGGCTGGCTCCTGCTGGCCGCCTGGCTCCGCATCCCCGGCGGATGACAAGGAAGGGAAGAGCCAAGCTGGTGTATTTGGGCACCGTTCCCCCGCGGTCTCAGCGAGTGACCTTGCATCTCTCTTCAATTACCCTTCGCCTTAACGTCGGCGTGTTTGTGTTTACAAAGCTAAGCACGGGGCCCTCCGCGCTGCCCCTGGCTTGGTTTCACTCAGTTAACTAGTACTTTTAAGTGCTTTGCCCGGGAAGGAGTCAAGAGGGCAAAAAGTTTTTTAAAAATCAAGGAACTGGTTCGGAGAAGTAAGCTGTGTAATGCTCCCTCTGCCTTATTGCCTTGGAACAAGACGTCATGTGCCTCCTTCCTTCCCAGACGGAGCGCAGGCACTTTGCCTGGCAGAGGTCAGCAATCAGCCTGGCACCCGGGAGGAAAACATAAGAAATATTTCCTGTCTAAATTCAGACCTATGTGAACTGGAGGAGGGAAGTCTCCCAGTCACTTTTTTCTCTGTGAACTGGAGGAGGGAAGTCTCCCAGTCACTATTTTCTCTGATTAGAACAAGAGGGAACGGCTTCAAGCTCCAACAGGGTAGGTTTAGATTGAACATTAGGAAGGAATTTTTCACAGAAAGAGTGGTCGGGCATTGGAACAGGCTGCCCAGGGAGGGGGGGGAGTCCCCATCCCTGGCTGTGTTTAAGGGCCGTTTAGATGCAGTGCTGAGGGACATGGGGTAGGGGAGGACTTTGTAGAGTAGGGGAGATGGTTGGACTCGATGATCCCAAGGGGCTCTTCCAACCTCAATGATTCTATGATTCTATGGTACTGTCTATTCAAACAGACCGTTCAAACACCCTTTAATTTATCCTCATCAAGACTTTTTTTTTTTTTTTTAATTTTCTTTCACAACCAATCCACCAGATAAGTAAATCTCACCGTGTCCATGCCCTCCTTCCTATCTTCGAGAAAGTGCATACGGAACTTTTTGCCACGGTTGAGATGTGTAATCCCTCTGCCTTTAGCACTGGCACAACTTTTTTGCCTAATCTGTCCAAAAATAGGATAAACCCATCACCCTGCCCTGCACGGTCCACGCAGGGACCTGACAGCAGATTGTGTTTGATGGAGGACAGGTGAGGGGCTTCCCACATTTCCCAAACCACTGGAGGGGGAAGAATTACCAGATCACAACTGTCACCCTTCCTGTAACCTCGACCAAGCGGTAATGTGTAGATGTTTCTTCTATTAATGATAACAATTACTTAAACTCCTTTATGTATTTAAGAGCAAAATTGATGTCATTTCTCCAGAGAAGAAAATACGCAGCTACTTTAATCACAACAATGCTTTAAATATGTAGAGGTTTGTTCTGAAGAGCCTGGTAGTGACCGCAGCTTAGCTGGAAGAACCAGCTTGAATCTATTTTGATTTTTAAATAAAGCACGGTTGCCTCATTAGCTGGGCAGATCCAGGAGAGAAGCACCCGCTGCCATGGCAACAGCTGTCTCTGCAGAGGCAGGATCTGAACATCCATCACAGGATGGGGACATGGGCACCTGATGTCAGGCTGCCTTGGCAAGGACACCGAGAAGGGGGCTCGGAAATAACACCCGTGAAGTGATGTTTGCCAGGAGAGAAAATATAATCAAAGCATTACTTGGCAAGGGACGCAGTGGTCTGGAAATGAAATAATTAATAGCTTATCTTAATTTCTCAGCATTTGACACTCTCCTGTGTTTTGCTGCATTCACAGCTTTTTAACTCAAGGCAATTGCATGAGGAAATGCTGGAGGTACCTGACGCTTGCCTGACATTCCAGGGGGCTGAGCAAAGTGTTTGTGGTGATGGGTAACGAGATGCTGATGTCTAGACATGCTATCATATGCTGTTCTGACACATACTAGGAACTACTGTGACTTGAAAAACCACTAAAAAAAAATACAATAGTGGAAAAATAATATTTAAAGTTACCTGAAGCATAAAATGTCTGTCTTGTGCATCCTCCAGCCTCAAATCCTGATTGTCAAGGTGAGACTTCAGACGGATCAAAAACTCATTCTGTCTGTTGATGTCTGTTGCCAAGATCAGGGAGCCCAACTGCTGCTCGATGTCCTGTCTGCAATTAAGGAAAATAAGCCCCTTCAATCATGGAACCATTGAACATTAATAGCTCAAAACAACCAGCCATGGATCATAGCGTAAAGCTTCCTCTTGCTTCATGGATGCAGTTGTCTCTGGTCGGTCTCTACTCTGGTTTGCAGGGTCCAACTGTTCTAGCTGCCTAAATGGGCTCAGGAGGAATAGATAGTGTAAAAATAAAATGCTTGTTGGCATAGGGCGTTCTGAAAGCTTCTGAAAAGTGCTAGAAGGGTGAAAAAAAAAGCTGCTCAGAGCTGGGTGCTGAATACTGTGACTTTGATGTTGCAGTTGAAGTTGTAAAGGACTGGACTGGAGTCCTTTAAAGTAGGACTGAAGCTGTTGGCCTCAAGCAAAGGATTTCTGGAGTGATACAGTTTTAGGCTTCCAGGTAACTTGTTTATATTGTTGGTAAGGTCACCTGTGATTAAAACTTACTATTGCAAGCTGTTCATTGGCTCAATCTCCATTCCTTGGTGGGAATAACACCCCACAAACCAGTATCAACTTGCCCAAGGTGCTAGCGTTGCTGAGGTTTTTTTTGGTTTCACCCAAAAATATGGTGAAGACTGACCCACACCTCCTCAGTCAGGTGTAGAAGTCCTGAACAGTCTCAATGCTGCATTCACAGCACAGACCAGTATCTATGCTTATAAATACTTAAAGGGTGGGTGTCAAGAGGACGGGGACGGTCTTTTTTCAGTGGTGCCCAGGGACAGGACAAGAAGAAACGGGCAAAACTTGAATATAAAAAGTTCCACCTCAGCATGAGGAGGAACTTCTTTACTTTGAGGGTGGCAGAGCCCTGGAAGAGGCTGCCCAGAGAGGTGGTGGAGTCTCCATCTCTGGAGACATTCCAAACCTGCCTGGACACGTTCCTGTGCAACCTGCTCTGGGTGACCCTGTTTTGGCAGGGGGTTGGACTAGATGATCTCCAGAGGTCCCTTCCAACCCCATATGATTCTGTGATCAGCTCCTCCATTTTTCTATTTCAGGCTTCTTAATCACTAAATCTTTCCCTATTTGGTTGGTGCTACATGAAACAAAACTGCCAACAACGCATCTGAAAAGGCCCATCTGAAAAACGGCAAAGCCTTAGAAAATACTTCTTCTGCGTAACTTTATCTCACGATTTCCTACTGGCACCAAGAGAGGGCAGGAAGCTCAGCCTACTCTGAAGCCAGTGTCCTTTTAAGAAGAAGAGGAGGAAGCCACGGACTAGTTTCAGTGATGGATTTCCTCCAGCAGACACTTACGTCACCTCCTTGGGCAGATGGGCGAGGAGCCGCGACTCCCGGAGCATGCCTATCGTAGACCGCCAGTGGTGATTCTCCAGCACTGAAACGTTCTAGGGAGGAACAGAAGGAACGTGGTCAAGGATTAGGCAAGCACCCATGGTACAGGCACAGATTTGTCACACCACCTGACGCCTAGAGCTGGTTGGAAGTGGATTTTCTAGAGTTAAGGGACCTTCTGCTTCTAGGTTTCCTGGCTGAGGTCAGCCCCTGAGTCCTGTTATTCTACAGTTGTTGAGTCCTGCTGTGAACAGGGGAGCTGATCTCAATCTGAGCAGGAGGTAGCTTGCATCCTAACAGATTTATTAACAAATGGATTAAAGCATGAGTGCAAAATCGTATTTTTACCTCGTATTTTTACCCCAGGTTGACTTCTCAGTCTCTACGGTTTGAATGCCGAGTGGAAAAGAAAAAGAAAAATGAAACTGCTAAATTTCCCTCAGTCAGGGAAGTGGAAGCTCCCGGCAGCTGCTGGGTGAAGGCAAGAGGAGTATCAGTATCACCGAGCATCCGCAGGCTTCAGCAAGTCAGGCTGCAACAAATTTTGAGCATTTTGAGTCCTTTTCGATTTGTTTGCTTCCAACTAAGTGGAACCAAAGTCAGGTCAGAAAAATTTCCTAGGGGACATAAACCCAACCTTCTAGGTTGTCTGTAAATTATAACAAACTGGGTATCTTGTGTCTGATGACTTTATATAATTATCCTCACACACAATGCATTTGCCACTCATGGTTTGTTTAGTTCACAGAGTACTTTTTACCACTGAATGCCTCAGAAACGTCACGTTCAGAAACCTCTAACACAATTCTCATAATTCACAAAAACATCTGCTTGCAGAGGAGAAGCAGCCCAGCAGAGCACCATTCCCCTGAAGGGCACAGTCCCCAGTTCCCCACAACAACGTGCACAGTGTGAACGTGACAACTGTCACCAAGCAATGGGGACACTCTCGGGGGAGTTATCGAATCACAGAATGGTTTGGGTTGGAAGGGACCTTAAAGATCATTGAGTTCCAATTCCTGCCCTGGTCAGGGACACCTCCCACAGGTTGCTCCAAGCCCCATCCAGCCTGGTTTTGAACCCCTCCAGGGATGGGGCAGCCACAGCTTCTCTGGGCAACCTGTTCCACATCTGATCCCTGTTTTGGGGAGTTTATGGCTTTTGCAGTAGATAGATAAGCACAGGACTAAAAAAAAAAAACACAAACAGCACTAAACACAACCAAACCTTTTATGGCTTTTGCAGTAGATAGATAAGCACGGGACTAAAAAAACCACCAAAACCACTAAACAAAACCAAAACTTTGGGCAGGTAGCAGGACAAGGACTCCACCTCATCACTGCCAACTGGGAAACTAGCCTCAGAATCTCACTGTTAATCCCTGGCTCCCTCCTGCAGAGTCCCCCAGCTCTGGGTGCAGCTGTGGTTCTGCTGCCTTCCCTCTTGGAGGTGACGCGCAGCTCCCACTTCTCCAAGAGGAACCAAACAGGATTTTTCTCCTTAAAACTTCCTCATCCTCCTTTGTAATCCTGTCACATCTAATGGCTGTTGAAACACTGAACTTGGCCAGTAACCAAGATCCAATTTGCATTTTGATCATTTCGTCAGTATTTTTCTTGGAATTTCGTGCTCAAAATTACTGCAAAGGTGAGAGTGCAAATTTGATTGATTTCCGATTACAATATTTTCTACAGTATGTTCTGTTTCCAATTCACACTATCGCTGATATGCTGCTTTGGTATTTCTTTGGGGTTTCTTTTTTTGTTTGTTTCACAGATACTGGGGGAAAAAGAAAACAAAACCAAGCCCAAAACTTTTCCAACCGTGTAAAGACTAAGCCCTTTTCCTTGGAAGAGCTGACAAATCTGGAACCCAAGATCAGCTACGCAACATCTAAATTGCTTTTGACAGCGATCCTGTTCATTAGCCAACTTAAATATCCCTCTTCTCCTTTTGCCTAAATACATCAGGATGGACTTTTGCAACCCTGCACTCTGACCAAGAAAAATAAGGGAAGTAATAGGACATAACAACAAGTTGGGCTTTTTTTCTTCTTTCACCGCCAGAGCCTCAGAGCTGAATCCTGGTCCCAACCATCACCCCAAGTTCATAGGCTGCCATCTTCCTACTCCAAGGTAAATTGGACAAACCCTACGTGACTGTCACCTTTGGGAAGGCTCACACTTGTTTAAGACAGAATTAAGGCACCCTTGAAACATCCCAACTGGTGAGACTCCCCCTCGGAGCACCCTGTGCCCCCATGTCCCTTCCAGCATGGCCTTGTCACTTGCTGGGAAGAGTTGCTTCAGCAGTACCCACCTCAACTGGGGAGCTGCACTCCATAGATGCAACTACTCTTTGGCCAAGCTTAAGACCAGCCAGAACAGAGCTGAGGGTGTAGACATCCAAGAACTTTCTTGCATCCAACTAATAATTACTCAATGGAAAAAGCAAACTCAGGTATCCATCCCAGAGCATTCCCACTTCTCTAAGTTCCTGCTCTTTGCCTTACTGCTGTAGAGAGAACTTCAACCAAAGCTGCTGCCCTGTCTGGTTTCCCACACTTAAAAGGAAAGGTCAAGTTAACAAGCGACAACTGAGCATGAAGTCATATGACTCCCCTGTTAAATGCAAGCAGCCAGAACCCCTGAAGCTGCTGCCAACAATTAGTAGAGTCGGCTATTCCACCTGGGAACACTCTACTGCCTTATTAAAACTAATTGCCATGAGCTATCTGATTGCCTGGGCTGGTGGGGAGATCACCCGTGCACGGAAAAGTCTATGTGCTGCCTCGCAGACCGGGGTTCTCAGCTCTGAGCTCCAGAGAACTTCCTTCCCCTAACTTTTTACTTGTTCACAAACTGAGTTGCACAGGTTTGTTTTAAAGTTTGCATCTGCATCTACTGCCTAAAACTAGTGGATTCCTTCAGGACTATGAGGAAAAAAGATGGTTTTTTTTACTTAGACTATCACAAAATCTCCAATCTGTGACTTTCCCAGCTCTATTCAAACCACAGCTCTTGACATAAGCACTTGGAAAAGAAGAATGACTTGAAGAGAGGAAGACTTGCTAGTCTAGCTGTAGAGTTTTTCTCTTTTTTTCTCAATTTTAATTCCATGTGGAAGGAGATCTAAACTTCTTTCAATCTGGTCATCCATTCTTAGTCATTGAGCAGTCAGTTTAACTACACAATGTTAAATATCTGAAAATGATTCTTTGATTAGAAATGGGGCTTTTACGAACTGCAAAGTAGAACTGTTATAATTGATGCCCAGAACATACTTTCCTCATTCTAGATTATATACATCTAAATTAAATTTGTAAAGTGTTCTTTTGTAGATTTCTGAAACCTGTATTATAGATGTTGTATGTGATCTGTCCAGACTCCTGAACTCTTACCCTTCATTTAAGAGCCAAAGATAGATCTCAACTCTCTATTACTGAAGTTATAAAAGAACACTTTATTTATATCAACACTATTTGTTTTCTTAGGAAATTCATAATTCATTCTCAGTAAAATACAGTTCCTTTTTTTTTAAAAAAAAAGTAACTTTGGGCAGGTAGCAGGACAAGGACTCCACCTCATCACTGCCAACTGGGAAACTAGCCTCAGAATCTCACTGTTAATCCCTGGCTCCCTCCTGCAGAGTTCCCCAGCTCTGGGTGCAGCTGTGGTTCTGCTGCCTTCCCTCTTGGAGGTGACGCGCAGCTCCCACTTCTCCAAGAGGAACCAAACAGGATTTTTCTCCTTAAGGCTTCCTCATCCTCCTTTGTAATCCTGTCACATCTAATGGCTGTTGAAACACTGAACTTGGCCAGTAACCAAGATCCAATTTGCATTTTGATCATTTCGTCAGTATTTTTCTTGGAATTTCGTGCTCAAAATTACTGCAAAGGTGAGAGTGCAAATTTGATTGATTTCCGATTACAATATTTTCTACAGTATGTTCTGTTTCCAATTCACACTATCGCTGATATGCTGCTTTGGTATTTCTTTGGGGTTTCTTTTTTTGTTTGTTTCACAGATACTGGGGGAAAAAGAAAACAAAACCAAGCCCAAAACTTTTCCAACCGTGTAAAGACTAAGCCCTTTTCCTTGGAAGAGCTGACAAATCTGGAACCCAAGATCAGCTACGCAACATCTAAATTGCTTTTGACAGCGATCCTGTTCATTAGCCAACTTAAATATCCCTCTTCTCCTTTTGCCTAAATACATCAGGATGGACTTTTGCAACCCTGCACTCTGACCAAGAAAAATAAGGGAAGTAATAGGACATAACAACAAGTTGGGCTTTTTTTCTTCTTTCACCGCCAGAGCCTCAGAGCTGAATCCTGGTCCCAACCATCACCCCAAGTTCATAGGCTGCCATCTTCCTACTCCAAGGTAAATTGGACAAACCCTACGTGACTGTCACCTTTGGGAAGGCTCACACTTGTTTAAGACAGAATTAAGGCACCCTTGAAACATCCCAACTGGTGAGACTCCCCCTCGGAGCACCCTGTGCCCCCATGTCCCTTCCAGCATGGCCTTGTCACTTGCTGGGAAGAGTTGCTTCAGCAGTACCCACCTCAACTGGGGAGCTGCACTCCATAGATGCAACTACTCTTTGGCCAAGCTTAAGACCAGCCAGAACAGAGCTGAGGGTGTAGACATCCAAGAACTTTCTTGCATCCAACTAATAATTACTCAATGGAAAAAGCAAACTCAGGTATCCATCCCAGAGCATTCCCACTTCTCTAAGTTCCTGCTCTTTGCCTTACTGCTGTAGAGAGAACTTCAACCAAAGCTGCTGCCCTGTCTGGTTTCCCACACTTAAAAGGAAAGGTCAAGTTAACAAGCGACAACTGAGCATGAAGTCATATGACTCCCCTGTTAAATGCAAGCAGCCAGAACCCCTGAAGCTGCTGCCAACAATTAGTAGAGTCGGCTATTCCACCTGGGAACACTCTACTGCCTTATTAAAACTAATTGCCATGAGCTATCTGATTGCCTGGGCTGGTGGGGAGATCACCCGTGCACGGAAAAGTCTATGTGCTGCCTCGCAGACCGGG